TTGGGGTTTTCAGTGGTCAAAAAAATAGTTTGGGGTATATTTGTCACAGATGTACCAGTTTGGAGTTTTTTGTGGTCAAAAAAATAGTTCGGGGTAAAATTGTCACATGTGTACCAGTTTAGAGTTTTTAGTGGTATTAACCCAATAGAAAAAGAACAGAAATCCGTTTGGTAACGTCAGTTAATTTTTCTATTCACCAGAATAGAAAAGTGACCATATAATAAATTTGGAATAGAAATAAAAAGTAAAAAAAAAAAAATGTTCCTGGGAACAAAAAGAGAAACAAGGAAAACAGGAACAAAAAAATCTTCGCCACCACCGCCACCGCCACCGCCACCGCCACCGCCACCGCCACCATCGCTGCCCGAGTCACCACCTCCTCCAACACCTCCACCACCCACGCCTCCTCCACCGCCACCGCCACCACCATCGCCAGCGCCACCGCCACCTCCTCCAACACCACCACCGCCACCGCCACCGCTACCACCACCACCCATGCCTCCTCCACCACCGCTCGAGTCACCACCTTCTCTGACACCTCTGCCACTCACGCCTCCTCCACCCACGCCTCCACGACCACCACCCATGCCTCCTCCACCCACACCACCTCCACCGCCACCCATGCCTCCTCCACCAATGCCACGACCACAGCTCGAGTCATCACCTCCTCCATCACCCACGCCTCCTTCACCGCCACCTCCTCAAACACCACCACCACCCACGTCTTCTCCACCACCGCCATCGCCACCCTCACCTCCAACTCCTCCTCCACCCACACCGCCTCCACCAAGATCTCCTCCACCACTGTCCCCGCCACTGCCCTAGTCACCACCTCCTCCTATGCCACCACTAACATTTTTATAGTTAAATGAAAAAGAATTGGGAATATAAATTTTCATGGTCATACCAAACGCATTTTTATTCTTTTTTTATTCCAGGAATATAAATTTTGCGCAGTTACCAAACGCGTTCTTCTGCTCAAAAACTCGTCTAGGGAATAGAAATACAAAAAAACTATTTCTAAACAAAAAATTGTTCCCGAAAACAAAAACATTACCAAATGGAGCCAAATAGTCTGAAGCGAATCTTGTTTCAAATTATGGCTTGAAATGGTTCTGTCAGTTTCAAAGAAGGGCCTGACATCAAGGGCATTTTTCGTCCTTTACCTTTTTTTTTTGAATTTTTTCCTTTTTTCTTTATTTTTTTCCTTTTTATGGTTTTTTTTTTCCTTCTTCGCCGGTGGTTGGCCATTGGCGATGCCCAAAGAGGGCTAGGCGAGAGTTGCCCTCGCCCGATCTAGCAAGGGCCACCGCGAGGCCAGTCTCGCCTCGGCGAGGCGACCCTTGCCATGGGCGAGGCCATCCCTTGCCGGTTGCTAGCAAGGCGACCCTCATCCAGCCCTCTTCTGGCATCGCCGATGGTCGGCGACCAACCACTGGCGAACAAGAAAGAAAAAATTAGAAAAAGGAAAAAAGAAAGGAAAAGGAAAAAAGAAAAGAAAAAGAAAGAAGAAAAATAATTTAAATTTAAAATTATTTTTGGAAGAAAATGCCTCTACCGATTGGAATATTTAGCCGGCCAGCAACCGACGAAGTCAAACCCTTATTTGAAGCTGATATAGCCATTTCAGATCTTTATTTAACACAATATCTATTTCAGGCCATTATTTGATATAAAGTTTACATTAGACCCTTATTTAAAATGTTTACAAAAATATATTTTCTCATAAAGTCGATAATATTGACCTAATGACATCAAGAAACGAACCATAGTTTTCGAAAGTTTGATTGTTTTCTCATCATAAACGGTTATATACGATTGGTGTGATTATGATACACGCCTTCACATCACATGGTATCATTGAGCATAAGATTCCCTCTCGGCTGGTACAACTCTTGATGCTTTCAATTCATCTCGAATTGGGTAAGGACTAGGACATCTGAGCCAGGTTCTACTGACACGTCGTACTCCATGCATGGCAAAGAAACAAAGCCCAAGATGTATCTCTATTGAAAAAAACAAAGCCTTGGTGGGTATGCGCTATCCAAACACGAGGGTTGTCCTTCTTCTTTCTGAAAAGGAACAATGTGGAAATGGGGCTTGAAAGCACCAGGTGGTAGGGGTCCAAGTGGAACGAACACGTGTACAGGGTTGAATGTGATCAAAAGAGTCATTAGGAGCGACAGAGAAAAACAACTCTGAGATTTTTGCCCACTTTCGTAACATAAAATAGTAAAAGAGACTCGTTATAACTTAAAAGGTGCAGATATAGAATCAACAATAACACAATAATCTAAATCGGGCATCTCCTCATTCATAAATCACTAATCTCACTCTAGTCCCTCACCGATAATTTAGTTGTTCCGATTGTTGTTATGTATTTTTTGGGGACAGTTTTAAGTTTTCACTCGACTTATACACATGGATCAAGCTCTTGTCGCACTCTGCCAAATGACATTACTGCTAATTATTGTCCTTAACCTATTATATTCATAAATTGCAACGGGGGATTCGAGTGTAAACATAGTTCAGGTAAGAAATAATGCTACATTTTTAACCAAAAGTAAATTATGCTATGTCTATATGTTCCACACACGATCTACCGGTTTGGTGATTCTCGATCACTTAGAATAATCGAGAATAATACCTAGTCATCCTGTATCTGTGGAAAAAGTTTGAACTTTATCGGTGGACACTAACTTTTTCGATGATTTAATCAGCAGTGGGGAAGGACAATAATAATGGCGATATATGGGTTCTGTCGGATTTTTCCCTGCTCTGCTTGTACCCACACATGGACCTCAATGAAGGAAAGTTTTTCTGGTAATTGTTTTTATTTGCGAGCAGGAGCAAATAATTACAGGACCCAGTATTTCAGTTTCCACAATATTTAATACGCCTTTTTTCCGATTTTGTACTAAGATTGATTTATGAAATTAGTTTGCAAATCGATATATGACAAGCTGGAAGTGGAAATCTGAACAAGTAAGACTTCTTCAAGAGCAACAAGAGTCTACTATATCGATTTGTATGTTAATTTGTATATTGTGATTCGTACACTTAGCATTGTTCTTTTCAATTCGGTTCGGATATGGTGAGTTTTGGCTGGTTGAGTTCTGAGTAGAAGTTTTCACTAGAACAATAATTTGCAGTAAATGATTTCCTAATATATAAGATTAATTGAAAACATAAAGTACTTCATATTTTGACAAAGATTAAATAACTCAATGTTCCAAGAACAAGTTTGTTTTGGAAAAATTCCATCAAAATCTATGTCAATTTACTTAAGATGAATTGCATTTATTTGTTGTATTAAATCGGCAAAGATGTAAATTAGTAAAGTAAAATTGAAATAGCTCAAATAAAATAAAAGACGCTTTTTCCTTGGTAAAATGCATAATAAAATAATATTATATTTTCTTCCTCTAAATATATGCAAAGCTTTTGTTTATTTCTGTTTTATTGCCCATATGAAGTTTGTGCTTTTTTCTAATTTCAAACGGATTAAAAGAGTAATAACTAGTACAATTATTTTTATGCAAACCTAAATAGAATTTAGAAGTAACGACAAAATAATTTTGTTTAAGTCAAAAGACGCAAGTCCAAATTGCATTTTTCACGTTTTACTAAAATAATCAGTTAATATTATCTTGCCTTATATTCTATCTCTTGTGTATTGACAATTCTATTTTGCTTTTTCTTTGATACCACTTCGTATGAATTCATCATAAGTAAGATGTATATAAAGCTAGATATTATGATGAGAGAGTCGAGACATAATCAAAATGCTCTAGTTCCTTCAATATGGAACGTATTTTGACACCGCGTTTCGTCGCCTCACTTGTTGATAACTTCTTTTTTGTGTTCTTGTTAATTTTGCTTTTCTATAAGTGGGATAATTACCAAAAAAGACTTAAACCTATTTTATGGATACCAATTCAATCATAAACCTTTCAATTTGGCTAATTTAGTCATAAACTTTTTGATGATTTGCCAATATAGTCCTTCTAGCCAATTTTGGTTGGAAATCACTTATGTGAATGCCAGCCATCCTATGTGGCACGATCGCCGCTGATGTGGATGATTTTTTTTTTCAAAAATTTATGAAGTTTTTTTATTATATATTTTTATTCTTTTCTTTTCATTGTGCCTGGTGAAGGTTCTAGCCCTCACCCAGATTTGGCAAGGGCCTGGGCAAGGACCATGACCCTCATCGGCCACAATGAAAAAAAGAAAAAATAAACAACAAATTCAGAATTTTTTTAAAAAATTACAAAAATAGTTCATGTCAACACTGGGTGCACCATGTAGGATGGCTGGCGTCCATGTCAACGATTTCCAGCCAATTTTGGCCAGAAGGACTACATTGATAAATAGTCAAAATGTTTAGGATTAAATTGACCAAATTGAAAGATTCATAACTATATTGACATCGTACAAAAGGTTAGGAATTTTTTGATAATTTTCCCTTCTATTATTCTCCCTTTTCCAACAGATTTTCTAAAAAAAAAATTGGCTTATTGTTGACCCTTTCGAAGCCTTGTAGGAAATTAAATTTTAGTAGTTGTTTCACCACAAAGTGTTGAAGAAGTATTTTTCAAAATGTGGATAGATGAGTAAATTAATAAAGGTTGTGAAGGGTCCTTTGTTGGTTCTTAAAATTATGAAAAGGATGAAAACAAATATAAATGCTTTGATCTAGTTTAAAATGACTATTAACCATCAACCTTAAAAAGAAGAACATGACCATCTGCCTTACGTATTACATTTAGGTTGTCGTACATTAGGATAAAGTTCAGACTTTTATTTTGGATGCCGATGGCATAAAAAGTTTACCCTCATAAGTAGGTTAAGAGATAAATATACAATAAGTCCAGTTTTAATCTTAGCAATTTTATCTGTTCCATTATGGTACATGAATTATTCCACTTCAAGACTTCAGCATTTTAAATAAAAATGGAACTTACTATTATGGTATTCATGCCCACTTAGAATTTCTAATGGCGCTACTAGTACTTTACGAAAATGAGTTTATACTAAGCAAGATGAAATTACGACGGAATATTTTCAAGTCGATCATATTCAAGAGAACTCGACATCACTTTATAAAATAATTTTTATGAACTATATAGTCTGTCTTGAGTGTCTATATAACCATCTCTTGCCCTAGAAATGCTGCAAATCTCACAAATTAGTAATGGATTCTACTGCTGTCTCTCTTCTTACCTTTCCACCTGTAAAACCGAACGATCTTAAAGACTATGATGAAACACCAAAAATTTCTGACTCCTTCCTTTTTCATAAGCAATCTCATGTTCCCGATTCATTCAAATGGCCAGAACAAGACGTGATTCTCTCTCACGGCGATCTAGAAGAACCCTTGGTTGATCTCAAAGGCTTTCTTCTTGGTGTTGATCAAGAAGAAACGCATCGTGCTGCTGATACTGTTAGAGCAGCATGCCTAAGCCATGGATTTTTCCAAGTGATCAACCATGGAGTCGACCTGAGTCTCATTCACGATGCTCACGATAGTATAGGTTCCTTCTTCAAGATAACAGTCAGCAACAAACTCAGGGCTGAAAAGAAGCCGAACTCACCGTGGGGTCATTCGATAGCTCATAATGATCGGTTCTCGTCAAAATTGCCATGGAAGAAAGCCTTCACTTTTGGCTACCATGAGAGCTCTCCAGATTCAGTGGTTGGCTTCTTTAAGTCCACCTTAGGGATGGATTTTGAACCAGCAGGGTAAGCAAGATCATTTCCCAAGTCAATTTAAATTTTGGGTTTTTACTCTAACAATTGCCCTGAAATTTTACATACACATTCAATTTTAAAAAAGGATTGATTCTTCTTCACACACATCTTTTAAAAAAAAAAATTGGGATTCAACATTCTAAGTTACATACAAGAACGGCGCTACTATTATTCTGATTTCTCTTCATATTACTAATGAACAAGTAAAATTCTGCAATTAATAATATTTAGATCAGACACGCTAGCAATAAAATCTAATAAAATCAAGTCACATCATGGGTATGTCACGATCGAAACGCTGTTCGTTGGGAATTTCCACAAAGAAAGTAAATTTGACAAAATATTTAGTTGTTGTAGGAAGTATAATCTTAGGATCTTTGTCGATTTCCAAGGCGAATGGATTTTTGATACTTCTCTTGATTGTGTTATCGTCGTAACACAGTCTTAGATCCGTTTGCAAATCTGTAAAAAGAAAGAGTGCACCCTTTATCTATCCTCCATTCTATTTTTGTAGAAAAGTATACCAGAAATATTGTGAAGAGATGAAGAAATTGGCTCTTTCACTCATGGAGCTATTGGCCATAAGCTTGGGACTTGAGAGGTCTTACTATAGAGACTTCTTCAAAGATGGATGCTCCATAATGAGGTGCAACTCCTACCCTCCTTGCCAAGAGCCAAGCCTTGTCCTTGGAACTGGTCCTCATTGTGATCCAACATCCCTCACCATACTCCACCAAGATCAAGTTGGAGGTCTCGAAGTGTTCGTCAATGACAAGTGGTACAAAGTTCGACCTCACGCTCATGCCCTAGTGATCAACATCGGTGATACTTTTGCGGTATGTGTTACTTTCAACAAAGCCAAATATAGAATCGCTCATGTTGATTTGCTATTAACTTTTCCTTAATAAGGGTGAGCATAATGATGAAATGGCTTCTTTTTTCCAATTTATGACAAGGCCTAAATGACAGGTTTTACTATTTTTATAAGTGTCTTCATTTGTAGACATCGATACTACATACTTGAGTATCATCTGTTCGAATTTTGCAAGTCTGTATACTCACTTTTCTAATTGCAAAAGTTTTTTTTGTTTATCATACATTACGTGAATACACAGGATTGGAAATATAAACTTTTTACTCAAACATACATTACTTAGCGACGGTGAAACTCTTCCCTGAACATGTAATCAATTGAGAGCCAATCACCTTATGAATAGATCATTTTTTAAAGTTCCATCATGTTCGAGTCAACTCCGCCATTTAAACGATTTGAAAAGTGTGAGTTCTTGGCATTTAAGAAGTACATTTTCGACTTCTATTAGGGTGGTTTTTAAAGGTATCCTTTTGTTTAATGTAAACTTACGATACTTGTAGCAACATTATAGGAAAATTTTATAAATTGCTTAATAGAATTCGATCAACAGCCTCTACTTTTGAGAATCTTCTTTGTGCTCGTTGTGAGAAATGTGAGGGAAATCACCTTTCAACGTGTAAGAAGTGGAATAAGTCCGAATTCTTATGTGACTATTAAAGATTTTGCCTTCCTAAGAAATGGGAAGGTGGGTTTTTCATCTAACGAAACTGTGGTGTGATCCTAGAGGGATAAGCATTAAATCCCATGCACGGAGTGCAAATAAAAGTACGTATCATGGTCCTTAATATTACGGACGCGTATCCTTCGAGCACATGTTTGTAACTGCTGTAATGTACGGGGCATGTACTATAATGAAGATTGGGGTTTTTGTTCTTGTGCACGCGTGCAGGCTTTGACAAACGGGATATACAAGAGCTGCCCGCACCGAGCGGTGGTGAACTTGCACAGAGAGAGGCGGTCGTTGGCTTTCTTCCTGTGCCCGCAGGAAGACAAGATGATCGCGCCGGCGCCCGATCTCGCCCCCGGAGGGGCGAGGAAGTACCCGGATTTCACCTGGTCGGACCTGCTCCGGTTCACCCAGAAGCACTACAGGGCCGATCAGTGCACCTTGCCCAAGTTCACGGAGTGGTTCCTCTCTCTTCAAGACCGCACTCTTGACTGTTGAGTCACTGTTAGTATCTGTGTGAGATCCCCTTGAAATAAAGAACACGAGTCAATCTAGTCTCTTTTATATGTATGGCCGAGGGATCAAGTGGATATGCATTCATTTGCATACTGGCTTACTTCAAGGATGGAAGGATAGAGATATGATGTACTGAATTGTATGATTCGCTAATAAGAAAAAGGTTTGCCAGATATATAATAAAAATTAATTTATCTCATTGCTGTGGAAGAAAACAGATATAGAATAGTAAGTATACCGAATGGTGTATTAATAGTAAGATTGCCTGAAAAAAAATGACAGGCCATTATCGATGTATATCCCCCTTTAAGACCACACTTTTTAATTAATTTTTCGCTGATTCTTATGGTATGGAAGTTGACAATATCGACATAATAATATCATGAAACAAATAATTTTTTTTCAAAAATTTAATAGTTATCGTGTCATAAAGTGAATATACATGATTGACTTAATATGGTAATAGTACACGTCTTCGAGTCACATGTTATCACATCACATAAGATTCTCTCTCTCGGCTCGTGGAACAACGGTTGATGTCCAATTTATCTCGAATTGGTATATGACGAAGAGATTTGAGGCAGAGACTAAGAAAAAAATGCCGAAGATAAATGTGGAATTACATATGCAATCCAAACACGAGGGCTGTCCATTTTCGTTTGCAAAGAACAATGTGGAAATGGGGCTTGAAAGGACTAGGTGGTAGGGGTCCGTGAGAAGCGAACACAAAATTACAGAGTTTCATGTGATCAAAAGAGACACCAGGAAGGCCACAGAAAAACAGCTAGAGATTTTTGTCCTCTTCTTTACGTTGCCACCTCCTCGTTAAATAAGACACTACAAAAGACTCGTTATAAAGGTTAATTCTAAAAAGAAGCATAAACTTTAGATCGAGAGATAATTCTGATCGGAATTTTTTTTGCCTTATAAAGAAGCAATTTTAGGTTAAGTAACAATTCTGGCCTCAACTTTTTTTTTATTTTATAAAAAATCACCAACTTTCACCCTGATCCCAAATTTGGCCCCCTGTTGACTTTTTGTCTAAAGTCACCCTTGTTTGAGAAAAAAATGTTACGGTGGTGAGTTTGGCGAATCTCATTCATAGCGTTTGTCGATAAGCGGTGATCTACAACTTCATATTACGTCTGGCCAGAGAGATTCAATCTAGAGATATTTTTTACTGGCCGGTGAAGTAAAGGAGACGAACAGTTTCACCGTTATTCTTCAAGCTGTGGCTAAGAGAATAAGACAATTAATAGTACTTTAAATCTAGTTGGCAAGCCACATGGATTTACTGTTGATGTGGAATAGTTAAGTTGGATAATCAATGGTTCTAAGTCAATGAAGACCAGATTTGGGATTTAAGTGAAAGTTTGTGCTTTTTACGAGACAAAAAAAGTTGGGGCCAGAATTGTCACTTGATCTAAAGTTGGTGCTCTTTTACGAGACAAAAAAAAATTAGGCCAAAATTGTCTCTCGACCTAAACTTGATATTTTTTTTTGAATTAGGCCCCCGTTATAATGTTAAAAGTTGTAGACATAGAAACAACAATAATACTGTAATCTCAACTGGTCATCTCGTCATTCATAAATCATAATCTCACTTTAATCCCTCGCTGATTAATTCAATTGTTTTGATCGATGTTATCTTTATTTCAGGACGATGCTAAGTTTTCACTTGACTTGTGTATGGATTAAGCTCATGCTACACACTCTGCCAAAAAACGCTAATGCTAATTACTGTCCTTAATCTGTCGTATTCATGAAGTGCAATGACGGATTGGAGCGTAATCATAGTTGAGGTAAAAAATACACATGAAAATGACACCAGTAGTCCCTGAACTTTGACCCAACATGCAATGTTATTCACGAACTTTTAATATATTTAATGTGATCCTTGAACTATTAATAAATATTTAATGTAGTCCTTCAATTTGCCCAAATGACAAATAAGACGTTATTTGATGACGTGAGTGAATATATATTGAGTTAGATTTTTAAAAATGATGGGTCAACATGTCCCTCAATTTACCCATCTACTCTAGGATAAAAAGAAAAATTAGGGTGTTAACATGTCCATCATAATTTGATGATATCTATTATTATGTCATGATTTGAAATGAATACCTTACGTGGATAATTCATGTGTAACTTTGTTTTTGGTTCCATCTTTCAAATTTAATAGATTGAAAGTCATATCGGCAAATTCTATTTACTTGAATCAATGAAAGGATGTCATTGTATAGTCCAGAGACTAGTTGAACATTTACGAATAGTTCAGCGTTCATATTGAACAAATTAAAAGTTTAGGAATGGTATTGCACGTTGGATCAAAGTTCATGAATCATTTGTATTATTTTCTCAAAATAAATAGATATTTTTAACCTAAAGTAAATTATGCTGTATCCGTATATTTTTCCTATAAGTTCCATACACAATCTACCGATTTGATGTTTCTTGATCAATTTTATCATCCTTTGTCTGGGGAAAAGAATTGGAATTTATGATGACCAATCAGTCCTAAAACTACTGTACGGATGCTAATTCAGTCCTAAATTGTCAATAAGAAATCCATCTATTTCTAGACAACTTAGTAAAAAAAAGAAGAAGGTTAAACACATATGAAGCATGTATCGGGTTATTTCTTTTCTGTCATTTATTATTGTCATTAAAAACTCAAACGATATCATTTCTGACTAGTTGCCTAACAGATATATTTTCTCAGAAAACATTTTCCGGCATTTATTTTACTTAGGAAAATGAGTAAACGGAAAATATTTTCCTAGTAAACGGAAAACCTATGTTTAAATTTAAGAAAATGACATCCCTTTAAAAAATTGGAAATCAATTTCCAAAATATGACTGGATATCAGAGCTTGATCCAAACTCTGTGCTTAAGCACGGAAAACCCAACGCTGGTTCCTGAGTCCCTATTGTCCAGGACCAGATCTCCGGCACCCCGGGCTAGGTCCATCGAGGCTGAGCCCATGACTTGCTGGTGTCTATTTAGAAAAATCAAATCAGATTTTTCATACCAAACAATGAAAGAAATTTTCCAATTATTTTTAGGTTTTATTGAAACACTAGAAAATATTGTTTTTTTTTCTCAAAAAATGATTTCCTAGAAAACATTTTCTAGAGACGTCACATTTTTGCAAAACAAACGGAGTCTAAAGTTGCAAATGCTCATATAACTCTAAGACTGAGGTACAAGTTAAAAGGTTTCACCATTCGTCTTTAATCTTATTCGGTCCGGTAATACTATTTTCACTTCGGTTGTCCATATAACTAGCTAGGTTATATACTCATATATTTTATCTTTTCAATAACTTAATTTACGAAAAATCATCAAAAAAAGAGTCCAAGTGAGAACCTGGAACCTATTATCATATATATCCATTAGAAGCACCTTCAAGAAAAAAAAAATTAAAACCAATGAGCCATTCACCAATCGGATATGGTACCTAATTTTTTAACGCCCCTTTTTCGATGGTGCATCTACTGTCCATGGTAATTTTTGAGTCTTTTTAAATTATGATTTGAGAAATGTGTACGACAACGCTTGTTTACGTCTTTAATGTTGCTCTTTGGCTTCTGACCAAGTCGCTGGTGTTGATTTTTCTGGGGAACGACGATGATAGAGGCTCATTGTCACTAGGGGTGTCCAAAACAGACCGCCCAAACTAGGAACCGTTCGGATCGGATCGAACCGGCTGATTTGGTTCAGTTCCCGAGAACCGACCGGTTCCCGGTTCCAAGAGAGAATCGGACCAAACCGGACCGATTACATATTCTTATTCTTTTATTTTTTATTTCTTCAAAAAAATTAGTAAAATATGAACTAAACCCTAAGTAAACTTCATTGACATAAATTCATTGATAAAATTAGTAAAATGTGACACAAACTCTAAGTGAACTTCATTAAAATAAATTCATTGACAAAAATTAATAAAATGTGAAATAAACACTAAGTGACCAGTTTTATTGGACCGGACCGGGAACCGGACCGTACCGTACCGGCGGTCCGGTCTCCGCTTCCCAAAATTGGGAACCGGGAACCTCACCCCTAATAGTCACGGCTTGGATGGGTTAATGATTATCATCATTTTTATGTGTCTTTGCAACATATAATACTTTGTACGGAATATTATTTTTTGGAGTTATTCCACAACTTTTTACAAAGTCCAACGATTCACGATTCGCGTGAACGATCCACATGATTGAGCAACACTGCTTTGCACTTTCAATCTTCTCTATACAGCAACATTAATCAACTACCATGGCTATTATGGCTCCGTTTGGGAATAGCTTTGCAAAGTCCTTTGGACCTCTAAAGGCCCTTAGGCAAATGCTAGTGTGTTTGGCATTCATTTTTGGGAACCCATTTCCCAAATGCTAGCATTTCCAAGGCCTTTTAAAGGCCTTAAGCTCGAGGCTCCTGGACACCTGCTTTGGCTTTCTCGGTAAGCAATAGTACCGATTAAGTAATAAACATTTCTTCCAAAACTACCCTCATCTATTTTTTGATTTTTCAGTTTTGCCCTCGTCTTTGAGTGTGCATTATCTTCTTCGCTTACCTCGGCCGGTGTGGCTGTGAGTGGACAGCGATGGGCCGGAGAGGAGCTGGCGTGGTCGCGCAACCCAGTGACCGTCGCCTGGAGTCGCACGACCGCCGTGACGGGCCACGCGACCCAGGCGAGGGCCGCCTGAGGTCGCGCGACCTAGACGGCCCTCACCGGGAACTCGCACGACCTCGGAGAGGTGACACGTGATTCCGGCTGAGGTCGTGCTACCCAGACGACCCTCGAGGGCCGGCTGCCAACAACCCTCGAGGTCCAGCGGCCGGCCGAGCCGGCGAAGGGTTTCAACTTTTCTTTAACAAAAAATAAAAAAAGTACCTAGCAAGTATAATTTTTCCAAACGCTATTTTACCTAAAGTTGCTTTGCAATGGACTTTTAAGTTACAACTTACCAAACACAATTTGCATTTTGGAAAACTCCTTCAACTTAAAGTCCTTTGCATTTTGCCAAAGACTTTCCCCCAAAGTGTTCCCAAATGCAGCCTATGTCGTGCAGTTTCAAGGCCCCATTGGAGAAATATGTTTCCTAGCTATCTTTCTGGCTTCCCTCTTTTTTTCGGTCGGATTCCGACTTCCCTCTTTGCTCGCAGAAAAGATCTAAGGCATCGCAAGTTACTCATGACTAGTCCGAGCACTATGCCACATAGTAATCCTCTTTCCACGGCCTCTGGTTCGATAAAATCTGCAAAGAACGAGTGAACCCCACCTTCAGGTAGGACAGGAAGCTCCCCCGGCGTCCTGGAATTAGTACAAGTTTTGGACAATGGAAACCCGCACAATCCTGGGTTCCTGCGATAGGATTCGGCTTGAAATGTGTTGAATTGGTTCCCTCGAGGAATCGATCCTGTTAGTTGATTGGAAGAGACATTTAGGACCTCCAGAAACGTGAGATTTGTCAATTCGGTTGGTATTGTCCCATTTAGGTCATTTCAAGAAAGATCCAACCATTCAAGCTCGGAAAGGTCCCCCAAAGATGATGGTATATGGCCTTCGAGATTATTGTGAGAAAGGTTGAGCCCCTTGAGTAATCCTAGTTCTCCTATGACATCAGGAATCATTCCCTGGAACTTGTTGCTTGATAGATCAACGGTTGTCCGGGTCACTAGGATTTTAGGGAGATGCACTTCAAGTCCTTTCATCGTCTCATTCATGGAATCCTGGCAGTAACCTTGGTCCATGTATTGCAACCTGGATCCATCCTGATCAGTCGACATCATCGCTTTCAGCTTTGCAAAGTAGGCACTGGGCAAAGGACCGGTGAACTCATTGGAGGAAAGGTAGAGAATGCGCAACTGCGGAAAGGGAAATTCAGTTCTGGGGTTGCCTATGGAGCCGTGAAGTCTGTTTGATTGCAAGATCAAGACCCGCAGGCTAGGAAGTGTTTCCAACCATCTTGGGAAAGTGTCGTTCAACTTGTTACCGCTGAGATCCAGCGCTTCGAGTTGCATGCAATTGATTAGAGAGCGTGGCAACAGGCCTTCAAATTTGTTTCCATTGAGGTGAAGACTTCTCAGGACAGCATTTTCACCGAATGTGAGTGAGATAGTGCCGGAGAGTCCATTTTCTTGCAGATCCAACACTAAAAGGCTGTGGTTGATGTTCCCTAGACATTGAGGGATTGTTCCAACGAAATTGTTACGAGAGAGGTCAAGAATTTGTAGACCCTTCGTTTCACAGATAGAACCAGGGATATAGCCAGTCAATTGATTGCTAGCTAGCGAGAAGACGAGAAGAGAGTTTGGGAGTGATGGAGGTGTAAGCGGCCCTGGTATCAAGTTTGAATGCAGGTCAAGGATTATAAGATTTTTCCATGGAACTTGTTCGAAGCTAGTGAGGAGGTTGTGTGAGAGATTGAGATAAGTCAATGACTCGGTCCCGACATCCCACATCCATGACGGGGTATCCCCGTGGATTTTGTTGCCCGACAGGTCTATATATCCTATGCTGGTTGAATTTCTCAAAGATTGCAGGGATTTCAGTAATATTGCACCCAGAAAGACTGACTTTTGAGAGGTTTGGCATGTCATGCTCGACATATTTGCTATTGCTCATTGACAAATCGTTGTCTGAAAGATCTAAATTCGTGAGACTTTTGAGTCTTGAGAGCAATTGTAGGTCTAAAACGCCAGTCAGGTTATTTGCTGAGATACTCAAGTCAGTGAGGTTCCCAAGCTGAAAAATCGAGCTCGGGATTGAGCCACGCAACTGATTACGACTCAGGTCAACATGGACTAATGAGGGTGCACCGAGGAACTCGCCGATTTGACCACTGAGTCCATTGTTACTGAGGTCTAGGCTCGTCAAGGATGGAAGAGAGAACAGTGATGATGGTATAGACCCACCAATGAGGTTATTGGAAATGTCAAGTTGGGCTAGATTGGAAAGATTCGTTATGCTCGGAGGAATAATGCCTGCGAAGAGGTTATGCGAGAAAAGCAGTTTTTGAAGTTGTGTCTTGTTGTCGAAGACATCAGGTATTGGACCTATGAGATTATTGGAGGAAAGATCGAGCAGAGTGAGCTGATCAAGGTTTGACAGAGTTGGAGGAACCTGACCACTAAGCTCATTGAATGAGAGTTCCAATCTAGTGAGTCGTGTTAGGTTACCGAGTGACGTTGGAATAGAGCCAGTGAAATTACACTGGTGTAGGCAGAGGATCCCCGGAGAATGCAGGTCGCCCATGGACTCTGGTAACACTCCAGAGAAGCCTGTGGAGGACAAGTCCAAAACCTTCAAAGAGCTATTCCATGTTGATTCGGGTAAGTAACCCACAAGCTCCTTGTTGCCTGATAAATCGAGACATGTCAGCTTTGGCAAAAGGAAAATTTTTGCTGCTAACATGCCGCATAATTTACAGGAACTGAGGCTGAGGACTTCCAGAGAAGGAGAGAGATTCATTAAGTGACTCACGTTAATGCCAGACATGTTTAACCCATCGAGAATGAGGACTCTTAACTTGGTCAAATTTTGAAGCAGCATGTTCGAATTCGACCCTGATGGCCTTTCTGCTTTGTGAGGAGAAGAAAGAGTGAGCGGACCCAATGTAGATAGTTCAGTGCTGTTTGAAGACCCTACAGAGGAGTAGCAGGTCTGGTTTCGGGGGTAGCAGCCAAGTTCAAGGCGAATCACATGACCAGTCATATGATCGCACATGACTCCGGCCCACGAGCAACAATCCGTGACAGCCTTCCAGGAAAGCATCCTTGGTCTACTGAGCCAAATGCCATCCGTTTGACAGAAGAAAGGTGTCGAATTTTTCGGCATTACCGCATTCATGAATTGAAGCAGGTCAGACTTTTGATCAGGCTGACAGGGCGCTGCTGCCCCTGTAGAGGAAGTAGAGAAAAATGATGAGTTAATGGCTTGTATTCCAATGAGGGATGAGAACAGAAACAGGATGATCAGACAAGACAATCGTGCCATTTTTTATCTAGAGAGTGAAGTGCATTAGCTGGCTGTGATATCAACATACGGCGGAGTTGGCTTATGTAGATGTGTTGGTTACCGTTGTTGAAAGCACCCCGTCAAAATTTTAGAGATTTTTCATGGACTTCCAGGCCTTTGTTTAAGATTTTGCGTTACTTGTCGAGACATAGTCCCGCATTAACTAGGAAATTCCTTCCTAGTTTTGTTGCAACCACGTACGTTCCCGGAGAGATTGATAATTGCACACTGTCAGCTGTTTGTTCTTGTATACGTGAGATGTGCCCATTCTGAGCATGTGATTCTTCCTTGATGAGTCGAAATTTAATCACCATCAGGATCTTTGAGCGTGAAATGGAACGTGGCATTTGTCCATAGTATTGGAAAATTCAAGAGGAGATGAAGATAATCCTGCAGACGGATAAGAAATGAATTGTTGTAGAGGTCACTGTAAGTAACAGAACACCTTTGCTCCAACCCCAAATGAACATTAGAGGGTACTTGCTTTGTGAATTAGCCTCGAGAATAGACATAGATTGCTTGTTGTCTATTACCAAACAGAAAGAGGTTGCTTCGTCTCGTTGATGGAGATCTCGTTCGAAAAGATTAAGTCTTTGATGATTTCATGGTGCATTTATCCGGTTTGTGAGGTAGAATTGCTTCCTGTTGTGCATGAGGGTCGAGAGAGGTGCATTTTTATTTACGTTCTTGCGAGTTGCCAGCAACGAGACTTTATTTAATGACTTGGGACTAGAGGTTCCACAGATCCTTACGTTGTTGTTCTGACATCAGAGTCGCTTTGAAAATATTGCATGCGAAGTGACGCCTAACCAAACCACAGACTTATTGCATATAAATCTAACTTTTGGGTTGTTAAAGTTTGCATAAACAAAATAATGTTGACGATTAGGAGGATCCTAATTGGGCCTCACTCGAGCCGTTGGAACAACCAAATCACGTCTTGTCGTTCTCCACTGTTTTTGTTGCATTTGAGGAATCGGTCAGTGACGACCCTGTTGTCCTGAATTTATTCTGTTTATATAAATGTAGTCATAATCAATCGGACAAATTTAGTTATAAACATTTTCATACCGGTATTAATTCAATCCATTTGACCATTTTAAGCCTGAAAAAAATGACGCGGACGCCGACCGTTTTACGTGGCATGGCTGACGCTGACATGGATATTTTATTTAATTTTTAAATATTTTTTTGATTTATTTAATTGTCTTTTCCCTTTACTTTTCCTACTTTTCATTTTTTTCTTTTTCCTTTCTCTTCACTCCGCCAATCTCTAGCCTCTGCGAGGATGGCAGAGGTCGTCGACCGCCGGCAACGGCTGGACCAAGCTGCCGTTCACCAGATCCGGTAAGGGGACCCTTGCCCAAACTTCACTAGCCTTTGGCAAGGGCTAGGTGAGGGTCCTCTCGCCACATCTGGCGAGGGGTGACCTTGTCCAACCCTCGCTGACCCTTGCCAAAGGTGGTGAGGGCATTTTGGCCCTCCTCGCTGGTGGCTGATGGCCGACAACCTCTGCTAGTCATTGTGGAGGCTAGTGACTGGCGGAGGGAAGAGAAAGGAAAGAAAAAAAAATAAAAAAGAAGGAAAAGAGAAAGAAAAAAGGAAAAGGAAAAAGAAAAGAAAAATTAATAACAAATAAAAAAAAATATTTAATAATTAAATAAAAAGTCGATCGCAAGATCTGGCGAGGGGACCTTGCCTAGCCTTCACCGAACTCTGGCAAGGGCTGGGGTAGGGTTCCCTCGCGAATTTGGCGAGCGACGATCTTATCCAACCCTTACCGATAGTCGATGAGCGCCTCTTGACCCTCAACCTCGCTGGCAGCCGGTGACCTCTGCTAGTTATCGTGGAGGCTGGTGACTGACGAAAGAAAGAGAAAGGAAAGAAAAAAAGGAAAGAAGGAACATAGAAGAAAAAAGGAAAAGGGAAAGAAAAGAAAAATTAATAACAAAAAAATATATTTAATAATTAAATTAAAATGTTTACGTCAGTGCTAGCTTGGTCGGATGGACATATTTGCTACCAATGCTAAAAGGCTTAGGACTAAATTAGTCTAATTGAAATATTTATAACTGAATTGATACAAATACAATATGTTTAAAACTTTTTTGGTACTTTTCCCATCAATTAATGGGTGCATGTTGGTAGCGGCTGTTAGAAAGAAAATTGTAAGTAGTATAGAACTAGACCCGATGGAATCAAACTAGATTTAACTAAAATCAATGTTAGGAAAGTTCCCTTTGGACAAGCGACCTTGAGATTATGACATGTTTGTACAATTCGTTAGTTATCTATATGCTAATATTCATTTTCACCATATGCTTTTTAGATGAGATTGAAATTAAATGTTAGTATATTATTTTATCTCATGTTTTTTGTAAGGTTTGTTTGATTTCAAATGATAGTTCCCGAGTCATGTAACGCTATGAACCTTATAAAATTTCAATATTTTTATATGAAAAAGGGCTAAAGCGAGCACAAACAAAGCTACTTCATATTTTATTAGGTGATAAAATAGGCGTATAGATTTATAAAATTTGACTTTAACATTTGTTTATCAATTAGGACTCTTAACACTTTCTCCTTGTCAACCACTGATTGCGGATTTGACGTCTAGCAGGGGAATTCCTTGTTCTTTCGCTCCCAACAGAAGATTCTTTTGATTGATTAGCGTTGATTTAGGACCTATTTGTTTGACCTTAATTAGAAGTAATTTTTTTAAAAAAATTTCTCTCAAAATTTAAAATAATATTCATATTTATAAAGAATTAAATGAAAATATTGGACAACAATATATTGATTTTGTGAAAGTTTCAACAATTTGAAATTTAAAAACAAAACTGAAAGTGTGTAAACTGCAATATTTTCATTAAATAAAAGTAAAATGTAATGATCTATCAAGGTAGACCCTTAGTCGAAGTACTAGTCAAGGACATATTTTATGAAATAGTTCAATTTAAAAACTATTGATTGTACATAAACGATCTAAGTAGTTAAATTAGTAAGCTTAGAACGTGTTTGGATAGATATATTTACTTTTCACTTTTTTCTAAATCTAAATATTTAAAAATTCTAACCTGAAACATCTAAAACTTCCACAATATTGTGTGTGTATTGACAAGTAGATTTACATATATTTTTTTCAATAATTTATTGAAATTTGGATAATGTGTTAAATTTTGACGGGAAAGCAAAACACGTTTTGTGTATACTTAATCCTAAACATATAAGCCCTAAAACTTTTTAATTAGTTACTTAAGAAATATACTAAAGGTTGGTCAAGAAAATACTTGTATAGGTGGGTGTTGCCACCTTCCTATCTTTTCTTGTAAATATTGAGGTCACATAGTAATTGGGCTAATTCCAAAAAAAGCACAAACTTTAAGTTGAGTGACAATTTTGGCCCCAACTTTTTTTTGTCTCATTAAAAAACACCAATTTTAGATCGAGTGACGATTCTGGCCCTAACTTTTTTTGTCTCATAAAAAATCATCACCTTTCACCTTTATTCCAAACCTGGCCCCTCGTTGACTCTCTCTCTGAAGTCACTCTTGTTTGAGAAATAAGGCGGATTTCGTCCATGGCGTCTATTGACGGTTGGTGGTCTACAACTTTAGATTACTACAAAACAACTAAGTCTCACCAAAGAGATTCAATCTGGAGATCTTTTTGACTTGCCGGTGAAGTGAAGGAAATGAATAGTTTTGTCATTATTCATCAAGTTGTGGCTCAGAGAAGAAGATAATGAATAGTGTTTTAAATTCACTCAGCAAGCCACGTGGATTTATTGCTGAGGTGTAATAATCAAGTTGGATAATCAATGGTTCTAAGTCAAGGGGGCTAGATTTGGGATTTAAATCAAAGTCGATGATTTTTTATGAGACAAAAAAAAAGTTGGGGCCAGAATTGTCACTCGACCTAAAGTTGGTGCTTTTTTACGAGACAAAAAAAAGTTGGGATCAGAATTGCCACCCGACATAAAATTTGTGCTTTTTTTTGGAATTAGGCCCATAGTAATTTGGATTTTCAAGAATGGTTGTGCTTTTTCCACTCCATTTTTTTAGTGTGGACAACACCTATTTTGAATTGATCACATTATTCCTTAGAGGTCGGACTTAGCATGCTGTCAAAACTTAAAATTTATCAATTACAGTTTATCCACACGATGAAGACTAAGGTCAAATGTGGATCCCACTCTTGATTTAAGCTTTTTCTTACATTTATTTATTTCTTTCTTTTTTGATTGGTTTCTTCCTTTTTTCTCCGTTTGAAACGAAGCTATCGTCCCTTTTTTCCAAAAAAAAAAAAGTTTATTTGGCAAATACATGACTAGTTATTGTGTTACTGAGTTCTATATTTCTTTTTTATTTTATACTAGGAAATATTATCCTAAAAATAACCTAAGTATAAGTAAGAGTGAAAAGAATCATCTACTAGTTTTTATGAATGCATTTGGTTTAGTTGCAACTTTAATATGTCTTTATGTGATAGCCTGTATATTTTAACTGCTCAACTTTCATTTTATTTAGTGAATCTAATAATCCATGTTATTTATTTTTTATGCCATCACAACACGATTTTCAAAAGTTATGTTAAAAAATTATCGATATGAAAGTTAAAGTATATTAAATATTCTAAACATCCATTATTATCATGCCAATTCAAAAGGAAAAGCTCCCTAAAATTTTATTACATGGAATACTATCTTTGCCCTCATTACATGGAATGATAGTGAGATATGAATTGTGTGTAATGCATATGTAGACCACAATATTCAATCTTTGAGTAAATTCTCGTATATTTGTACTGCAAATGGAAGT